TCAAGTCAACTGTACCCAATTAACCCTACTTATGCAAAGGTTTTTCTGGTGCTCCATAAGAGTTCCAGGTAATTGAGGGTCTACTGTTCCATAAAAAACTCTCGTACATGAATAGCCCTGTACATTTAATGGGATTTGTATCGGAATTGACCTGGGGTGGGACTGAACTATATATTGGCAAGTATGTGATGCACAGATAGGTAAGCAAATAACAGGCCTACTCAGAGGAGTATATTCAGGCTCAAATGTACATCTAATGAGTTTGGTTCATTTATAAAAGCTGCTGAGAAGTACAAGTCAGCTTCCAAAGCTAATTCCAATACAAATTTTATTAAAAGAAATGAATAAGAGGTATCAAATGTCTTAGTTTATCATTGTGCAGCCTCAAGCTATACATGCTGCTTAAAGTGAAAAAAGGAACAAACAATTGAAGAAATCCTGTCAGCCGCCATGTGACAATAAAAAGATTTACACTATGGGCTAATGTTATAGCACTGGAAACCAACATTAGAACCCATGAAAGGAACAGAAATATAAAATTTAAGGTAATTTATTTGTGTAGTTCTTAATCTATCTCAGTTATAGCAGACATCTGGGCTGATTTGAAGAATGTTGTTCAAGTAGGTGTTAAAAGTGGGTGTTAAATAGCCTTCAATACTTCTTTTCTTGGCTGGTTACATGGTAGAAGTGAAGTTACACTTTACCCTTTGACCATACTAAACCTGTAGAATGCTAAGCAGTGTTAAAGTTAGAATATGCTATGAGCAGTTGCACAATAAAGGCTAATATTGTCTCTTGTCTGCACAACTCTGATTTACCACTGGAGGGCTGGCAATCAGGGGCATGGCTATGAGCCAGGACACTTGGGCCATGTCCGCATGAGCGTAGATGTTTGGTTCCCCAAGGACAAGTAGCGGCAGCGCACCTTGCACCGCTGCTACTTGCCCCCAGAAAACACCGGTGCCACGCATGCTTTGGTGCATGGCAAGTTACCTCAGGCCAGCACTGGGTTAGCCTCAGCAGCCTCAACTGGGGTCCTGGGGGTCTCCCAGGGCTGAAGCAGTGGTGATTCTGCTGCATGGAGCCAGACTGGCAGCTACAGTGCTTCTCCATGTGGCCTGGCTCCATTTTTGAGTGGTGGGCGCGGCCCATGCTTGTGATGCTCCATTTTTTTCTCCATCGTTTTTATTGCTCCCTGGATATCCCTTGCAGCATGGAGAACATTTGAATGTGTAGTATGTGGCATTGCAGACATGTTCGCAGTGCCACATACTACACAGCCATGCTTGTCTGTATGCGGCCCTGGGCTCTATCCAAAATCTTGGTTGGGTTGGGCTGGGAACAGTACATCCTGGGATTCTGGAGGACTGGAAATTGCTCATTTTATCCCTGTGGAGCTGACTGAAGTTATACTAACATGAGCTAGGTAGCATGACCCAGAGTTAACCCTCACCTTAAGTGGCATAACTTTGAGACTCTTAGGGTGTCTCCATGAGCAGGAATGTGCATCTTCCCAGAGACAAACAGCAGCAGCACAATATGTGCCACTGCTGCTTATCCCTGGAAAATGCCCATGCATGCATGCTTTGGCATATTACCCTGGGTGGGGTAGGGGAGGCTGGGTCCAACACCCGGGCTGGTCCCATCAGCCTTACCTGGAGGCCTGAGGGCTTCCGGGGGCTGTAGCAGTGGCAGTCCAGCAACATGGAGCCTGGCCAGCAGCTGGAGCATGGCTCTGGTCAGTCAGGCTCCAGTTTCTGGCGGTGCACACTGCTCCATTTTTTTAAGGTGCGGGGTTTTTTTTACACCTGGATCTTCTGGTGTCAAAACTCCCCACGTGCACTGAAAATTAGCAGTGCATGGAATGCTTGCATATGCAGCTTGTGTGGTGCCACAGACAGGTCTGCAGTGCTTCATACCGCACGTCCCTGCTCATCTGGACACGCCCTCAGAAAGTAATTAGCATGAGTTAGCAAGCTTTAAACTGCAGACACTCATACCATGCCCTTAGTATGGTCTGAGTACAATATGTAGCTTCACCCTAGGTTGTAGAATGTAGTATGAAAGGACACTTAAATCCATCAGGGTGTGGATCTATAGGTTCTACCATATGATTAGGCCCACTAACTTTAACCCAATAGCTACTAAAAAAAGCAGAATCCAATATGTAGGCAACAGGCATGGGCAACTGGTGCTGCCTTAGTCAGGGAGGGCCTGCGTCCTCCCTTACAAACAGTCCCGCTGCCCGGTGGGGGAGTGGTCCCCCCGTGGCCAATCCCATGATGGCCTATCATTATGGCCGATTGCTGCAGCCGCTTCCAGGAGTGGCTGTGACTGCTTCTGGGAGCAACTGCAGTGATCAGCCAGTGCTCGCAGGGGGGTCGCCAGAGCTCCCACCTGTCCCTCCCACCCATAGCCTAAACGGTCAGGGGGTGCACAGTGCTCTCAGGGGGTGCATGTGCACCCCATGTACCCCCTTATGCATCACCACTGGCAACAGGAAAAGAGGTAACAGCTTTGAGGGTTGAGCTTCCAACAAACTGGAGTCTTGTTTTGACAAAGGGTATAAGCCATTAACTGCTTACTTGGTATTGGGAAAAGTGAAGTGATCAAAAGGACTAAGCAGTTTCTAAAGCAGTGATTCTCAACCTTTACTCAGCATGACCCCATTTATGACCCCATTTATTCAGCATGACCCCCATTTCCTCAGCTTGGTCCCTCACTCCCAACCCACAGCCCCCCACATCCCCAAGGGCCCCTCACTCCCTTCCCACATCCCTCTAGCCCAGGGGTGTCCAACCTTTTCCAATGTGGGGCCGGATCATGAACTTTTTATCCCTGGTTACCTGTGCAAGACAGGCTTCAGCACTGAATATGTGCTGCCTTCTCATCCTAGACTGCAGGAAAAAAAAGAAAAAATTGATTACTGCTGAATGCATATAAACACTTCAAAAAGGATATGGAGAAGCTTGAGAGAGTCCAGAGAAGAGCCACGTGCATGATCAGAGGTCAGGAAAACAGACCTTACGATGACAGGCTGAGAGCCATGGGGCTCTTTAGCCTGGAAAAGCGCAGGCTCAGGGGCAATCTGATGGCCACCTATAAGTGTATCGGGGTGACCACCAGTATCTGGGGGAACATTTGTTCACCAGAGTGCCCCAAGGGATGACGAGGTTGAACAGTTATAAACTACTATGGTTATAAACTACTTCATGGGCCGGCCGTGTGGGGAGGCAGTCAGGAAGACCAACCGTACCTTGTTGTGCATCCACAGATGTATCTCGAGCAGGTCCAAAGAGGTGATCCTCCCCCTCTATGCGGCACTGGTCAGGCCGCAGTTGGAGTACTGCATCCAGTTCTGGGCACCGCACTTCAAGAGGGATGTGGACAGCATGGAGAGGGTCCAGAGGAGGGCCACTCGCATGAGCAGGGGGCAGCAGGGCAGGCCCTATGACGAGAGGCTACGGGACCTGAACCTGTTCAGCCTCCAAAGGAGAAGGCTGAGTGGGGATCTAGTGGCCTGTTATAAACTAGTCAGGGGGGATCAACAGGCATTTGGGGCGTCCCTGTTCCCCCGAGCACCACCAGGACTGATCAGGAATAAGGGTCACAAGCTGGCAGAGGGTAGATTTAGGCTAGATATCAGGAGGCGCTACTTCATGATCAGGACGGCTAGGATCTGGAACCAGCTTCCAAGAGAGGTGGTGCAGGCTCCTACCCTGGGGGTTTTTAAGAGGAGGTTAGATGAACACCTTGCTGGGGTCGTTTGACCCCAGTACTCTTTCCTGCCACGGCAGGGGGTCGGACTAGATGATCTACTTAGGTCCCTTCCAACCCTAGAAACTATGAAACTATGAAGACCGTTTCAGGCTGGACATAAGGAAGAATTTCTTTACTGTCCAAGTCCCCCCAGGTCTGGAACAGCCTGCCATCGGAGGTGGTTCGAGCACCTACATTCAACACCTTCAAGAGCAAATTGGATGCTTATCTTGCTGGGATCCTATGACTTCCTGCCCTTTGGGTGTGGGGCTGGACTCGATGATCTTCCGAGATTCCTTCCAGCCCTAATGTCTATGAAATCTATGAAGCAATCAAAGACAAGCCTGTCCACCTATGCCATCACAGAAGCAATTCTGCCTTGCCCTGTGGCAGTGTAGGTAGCACTTTCTCTTCTTGGGCACAGAAGCCAGAGACCAGCTTTCACCCTTTGTAGGCAAGTCAAATGTGGGTGGATGCTGTTTGGAAACCACACATGCAGGGGCTTATTGAGAGCAGGTAAAAGGGACATGGGGGGTTTCAATCCCTTATCATTGAAGGGGACTCCATAGTGTATGGTGTATTGAAGTATGATGTTCTATTTCTTCTCTGCTGTTCCTTTATTCCTTGTCCTCACTTCCAACAAAGGCAGGGCAAACTAGCTTGTATGTTATGAAAGGGGCAGGAGAGGCAGAGTATTGCCATGAGAAAAGAGAGCAGAGGTGGAATTGGGTGTGACAAAGTGTTGTTTGGGGGTCTTTTTGGCAAAGGGCAAGGTCTTTTGATGATCTTGCAGCCTACAAACAAAGTGGTTAGCAAAAGGGATTACCACATCTTCTGCAAAAGTAGAATGGAGGATGGCCATCCATTAGTTACCATGGATATCTGAAGTGGACATGAATGAGGTATGAATGAATGCTGACCTTTCAGATGCATCTATGCCAAGTGGCCAACCAGGTCTAGGCCTGTCATTTATACAGAAATCGCACTGGGGGAACAAGTTACCCCCATACATTAACATGGAAAAACATATTCATGCCTGGTGTAACGTTATCATGGGCAGTGTTTCATCCACAGAGAGCAAACCATTCATGTAAGCTGGATGTTTTTGGGGGATATTGTGCACTGTGGTTCCAGTGACAATGTCCTAAAAAGAAAAAAAAAATAGAATGAATTAACTTTAAGATACTGCACAGAATATATATCTGAGTAGGAAATTACCTCAAGGGAACGTATGACTAACCTTGTTTCCTTTTACAACTAGGTCACAAAGTCCTTGGATGTGGGTGTTGAGGTGGATGTCATCTACCTGGGCTTCAAGAAGGCCTTTTACACTGTTTCTCACCGCATTCTCATAAAAAAACTAGGCAACTGTAGCATTGATGCCTACTAGGTCTATGTGAATAGGCAGCTATTTGATTCAGCTTCAGATCCAGCTGCTTCGGATGCCAGCGATCCAATCCGGACCTCCGGACTGGTTTTAAGCTTACATTCGACTGAAGCAGCTCTGAAGCTTTGGAGCTGCTTCGGAGATCTAGCCATAGGGTATAATGGGGAACCAATGAAATATCTATAACTTTGTTGTTTTTTGTCTGATTTGGATGAAACTTGCAAGGCTGGTAGCTTCATCTTAGAGCACAAAGTATGCCCAGTTTCAAGAAGATAGGTGCAGGGGTTTGGGGGAAACCACACCCCAAATTCTTGAAAGCAAAACTCATGTCACGTGTACCTGTTGCACT